AACCTGTGGTGGGATGCTGGGTAATTCCCCCAAGCAACCACTGTGGTGTATTCTAGTCATCCTTCAGGCTGCCACTGTCCTCAGACTGCTCTGAGCTCTGTTTCTTTTCCCGCCTGCTCTCCTGCCCTTTGCTGTTCTATCACATTTTCTGGCCACTCCAGCCACTTAAGTGAAACATCACAGTACAGCAAGGAGGGCAGTGCAGAGGTGGCCGGCTGGACGATCTGCTTCAGTCTGCAGTTTTTAACTGCTCAGCTCTCGATTTTGCACACACACTTGCTTGTGTGTCGCGCTCTCTCTCTCTCTCTCTCTCTCTCTCTCTCTCTCTCTCTCTCTCTCTCTCTCTCTCTCTCTCTCTCTCTCTCTCGCCCCTTATGTTTTTGTTTCATTTTCTCCTCATTTCTCGCTCTCTCTCCTTTTCTCCGTCTCTTCTGTCTCCTTGTTCTCTTTATTTATTGCGTGTTCTCTTTTCTCCTTTTCATTTTATTTCTTTCTCTTCTGTCTCCTTTTCTTCTCATTTCTTGCTCTCTCTCTCTCTCCTTTTCTCCTTCTCTTCTGTTCCTTTTTTCTCCTTATTCCTTGCATGCTCTTTCTCTCCCCTTTTCTCTTTCTCTCTCGTCTCCTTTTCTTCCTATTTCTTGCTCTCTCGCCCAATATTTCTTTGTCTTCTGTCTCCTTTTTGCTCTTTCTCCTTCTCTTGCGTCTTCTTTTCTCCTTATTTATTGCACTGTCTCTCTCTGTCTTCTTATCTCTTCTTTCATTGTCATTCCTTTTCTCTCTCCCTCTCTGCTTCTGTTTTTTCCTTATTTCTCACATTCACCCTCTTGTGCTGTCTGTATCTCTTACTTTTGTTTTTTTTTTTCTTTCTCTCATCTACCGTCTCTCTTCCTCTCATTTCCCTTTCTTTTACCCTCACACTCCTTTCTCATTGTTTTCTCTTTCTTTCTTCTCTGCTGTAACAGTCTCTCCGTTTTTGTTTCTCTCTCCCTCTCTTTTCCTCTGTTTCTTTCTTTCTTTCTTTCTTTCTTTTTCTTTCAGCTTTTTTCTTTATCCATCTTCTTCCTTTTCTCTCCTCTCTTGTCTCTTTTCTCTCTGTTTCTCTCCTTTCTCTTTGTTTCTCTTTATTTATTTTCCTTTTATTAGTTGTTTCTCTGTGTGCTCTCTCATTCTAGCTCTCTTACTTTGTCTGTCATTCTGTCTCTCATATTTTAGCTGTCTCTCCCTCCCTCTCTCTCTCTCTCTCTCTCTCTCTCTCTCTGTTTCCTTCTTTCTCTCATGTTCTAGCTCTCTCTCCCCTTTTTTCTGTCTCTCTAGTGTCTCCTTTTCTTCTTATTTCTTGCTCTGTGTCTCTCTCTCTCTCTCTGGTTCTCTTTTTTCTCCTTATTTCTCTTGCACTCTTGTTCTTTTTTCTCATTCTCTCATTTCCCTTTCTTTAGTCACACTCCTTTCTCGTTCTTTCATTATAGCTCTCTCTCTCTCTCTCTCGTTCTGGCGCTCACTCTCATGCTCACTCACATTGTGTTTATTAAAACATTTAAGCGTGATGCTTTCTTCCTTCTACTATTGCAGTCTAATTAGTTTCATCTTAGACTTTCCTTTTTATCCTTATATAGCTCTACATTCATCTTCAGTAAAATGCTATGCAAACATTTAAAAAATGAAAGTCTGCAAGTTTAACTTTCTGATGCTGTTATGATTCAGTAGTCACGTTCTCGCCTGTGCGGCTAGCTCCGTTTTATCACTTAGATTTTCAGTGGTTTGTGACGAAAGTTCTGTGGGCAGAAAACTGCTGCTTCATGTCCTGCTAGCACATTCTCGCTGTTCACATTTCTTAGTGAGCTAGAAATAACTAGCTCTGATTAAATGTTTATGGATATGAAAGCGCTGCAGTTCTCTAATGTCCATTATGTGTATAATCCAAGATGGGAAATGTGAAAGAAATGGATTATAATGTCTGTTTCATACATTTATATGAGACAATTGCAGCAGCTGAATTTGACATCCTGTGGCCATTCACAGTTATCAGCATCATCCAGATTACGATTTAATTACAGCAGCTGGCCCTAGGCAGATAGTGTTGTTCCCTTTTTATGTTGATCTCCAAATGTTTTTTTTTGTCTCACACGGCAGGCGTTCTGGGCCCGCATTGCTCTGTGCAGTTTCAAGTATTTTAAATAAAGACGGGTTTGATAATTTGCCGAAGAGATGGATCAGGTGTGTAGGCACAGGAAATACTTGAAATCGATTGAGAACCCTAATCATCATATTTTGAACAGACTCCCTGGTCAAAATACAGCTTTAAAGCCAGTCACTGCTTGTCTTTTAAAAAATCATATTTTCAAAATGACACATGAATGATATGCAGTGTCGTATGTCTGTGCTCTCATTGTGAACAGTTATTTCAGTACGCTTACTGACCTTATTTCCAGAGAGACAAAGTGCAGGTGAGAGTTTTGATCAACCTGGAATTATTGACTAATGCAGCTCACTGGAGGCTGTGCAATGTCAAGGGGTCCAAGCACTCCTTGGAGGTTTTAGCTTTTGACCAAATAGCACTGTGCTTCCCTTTGTCTGTTTGGAACACCAGACCTACCTGGGGGAGACACCTGCCTGGCCCAAGAGGCCTCTATAGGCAGCAAGATACCCCCCACAAAAAGAGCTAATGCCGTTGATTTATCCTTGCTCTGTCCACAAATGTAATTTTTACAAGAACGTTGGCAAATCCCATTCAACTTAATCAGAAATCAAAGTGTGCTTAGTTTTTGGATGTGCATGAGAATGGAAACTTCTGTGCCCCGTAACAATGAACTTTTGTAATTTAAAGTTACCATGGTAACAGTTCCCAAAGACAGTTTAAAAAAAAACACTAAAACCTAAAAACCAAAGAAACAAACAAAAAAAATATTTATTTTGTGCACACCATAGCAACATGCTAGTATTCTCACTTGTAAACTAAATGAACTTTTAAACATATAGGGTTATATGCAGTCCTACATTAATACCACTTTTATTGTACCTAACATAGAGAAGGTTGTTCTGTGCAGGTTGGTGCTGCAAGCGAATATCATGCCAGTACAAAAAGCTGCCTAAATTGCGCTGTACATTTAAGGACATCCTCAAACCACAGCAGTCAGGTTTCAAACATCAGACAAAATAGCTTGAGGTCTCAGGAAAAACCTCAGCTCTTGTACATCAGTCTAAACAGCTTCAGGCGAAATGGCGTCAGAGACCAAGGCATCAGGCTAAACTAAGGGAACATTTCTTACTAGATTAATTATTATTCTGTGGCAAAATTAACGATGACAACATACTAGATGCACACTTTTACTGAACTGCACTATTATTATATTATTTTATTTCACAACAATTAACCTTCAGCTAACACTGTGTTTGCTCCCATGCCCTTGTCATTGAAAGGGATTGTTGAAGTGGGCAATATGATATTTTATTGTTCTCATGATAAATGTTATTACTTTCCTGAGCATATCATGATATTGTCTGTATTGAAGAACACTGACCAGCTATATGTTTCATTACAAAGAGAACATAATTTGTCCTGTTTAATTGGATTCATTGCAGTACAGTAAAAAAAAAACAAAAAACCTGTTGTGCCCAGAATTTTTGATGGCTGTTTATAAATGTAGCATTACTGGTGTATTGTGTCTGGGTGTCATAATACCGTGATACAAACCGTGTGTTGTGAAAATGTCTAAGTATTGGCGTATGAAATTCTCACTCTATCACTTTTCCCTAGATCGTTACAAAATTACTGGGTGAAAAGGGAAAAATCCCCCTGAACCCGCTTTGGCCGTAATCATGGTCAATTTCCACAGTTACCTGAATAAGAGGACTCTGTTATCAGCACAGGCTTGCTATGTTTTGCAGGAACTCTAAGTAAACATTATAGTGGTTCAATCGATAATTTCTTTTCATGTTTTTTTTTTCAGTTTTTCTTTAGTTTGATTGTTTTCCTATGTTCTGCTAAGCTTGTTCAATCACAACAGTTTCTAAGAACAAAAGCATTTGTGTGTAGGGCATGTATAGGTCATTAGAATTTTAAGACTAAATGGAATTAAATCAGATAATTTTGAAATTAGTTTAGGTTTAAATTTAAAGGGGCCTATATCCTCCTTTTCTTATATTTTATTTCCCTTAGGTCCACTTAACGCTTGTGGTTTTAATTAATACAAACATTATTTTTACATGACCAATATTTGACATGACCAATTTTAAACCTCTCTTTATTCCTTAGCATTAAACAAGCTCTTTTTGTTACTGTGCTACTGTGTTAAGAGTAAATGACCTTTGATTGGCTGTCCTGCATTGTACCTCATTCAGAAAGCAGTCAGGGTTGAAGCACTGCTTATAATGTTAGTGTGAATAGGTGGAAGGATGTAAATGTTTTGGTTTTTGTGACATCAAAGAAATGATCAGTTCAAACCTGATTGTTTTTGCAGCTACATTTCTGGTTATTTAAACTATTTTGACCAGAATGTGAGCTGTATTTTTTGAAACTTTATCAGTGTTTACATACTACATTCTCAGAAAAAAATGGTCTAAACTGTCACTGCCCCTCTTGTCACTAGGGTGGTACTCTTAAGGGTACATCTCAGTACCTTTAGTCAGGGAACATAACTGTACCACAATCTATTGAAATTATATTTTCTAAGTTTTACTCCACACACCCCGTCTCGTCTCCAGGCTTTTTATTTTATTGTTCTGTTTTAAAACATTAGATTATGAGAAGAGACAAATATGTACTTTTCACCTGGAAAAAACGTATTTACGGTACACAGTTGGACCTCAAAACCACTGTTGTACCTTTGAGGGAACATTTACATTGTTTGTACCTTGATGAGCAAAAAATTTACCTGCACAGAATCTTCATTTCTAACAGTGTACATCAAATTTTCATAAAAAAGTGAGAATTTTTCCATGAATTTTCCTTCAAATGATACTCGGTTGTCTCAGAAAAGACACACATCTGATTTTCCCTCAAGGTAACATGGGTAGAACAGCAGGTGGTGAAGCAGAGGAAGAAGAGGGATATTTACACCGAGCCAGCTGACCCCAAGTTTGCACAGCAATGGTACCTGGTGAGTGAAAACATCTTCCTGAGACTGTGTGCGTGTATATGTGAGAGAGTGAGAGGTCACAGTGTTTGCTTCAGTTGTTAACACTGTGTAACAGCTGGTCCATAAAAGACAAGAGTTCCTTCAGATCCGGGTAGGAGGAAATATTCTGTATGGATCCACTGTTTGGTTTGCCCCTGTTAAACCGTGAATTATGCAACGATGAACTCACTGACGTAGCCACCCAGTCGAGCTTAATTCTTAATCAGTGTGGTATGCTTTGCCTCCTCAAAAAACATGAGTACAAACAAGTTGACAGTGTGACTCGGTTTCTGCCCCAATGCCGGAACTGTAGCTCAATATGCAGTCTTAATGCTTGGCATATTTTTCTATCTTTTATTTAGCTTTGTGCTCTATATAGGTTCTCTTAGATGTCTAGTATACATATGCCTATTGACTTGAATTTGTTTGAATTAAATATATCTGGTTGAGGCATTCAGGTTTGCAGCAGAACATTGTCCCCAAGCTCATTATCCTGCTGAAATTGTTGCTAATGCTACAGGCACCAGCTCAGTTGTTTCTCTCAATGTTTGGCTAAGGTCTTTAGTTAAGACACTGAGTCGTCTGTATAGTATGGATGTGCTTCATATTAAGCACTTTGCATTTTTTTCCTGTTTCTGGCCAGGGAATAAACAGACACTGTAATAGCGCAGTACTCATTAAAATGTATACCCTTGCTTACATGACCATCCTCACACATAATTCAGAGGCTAATTTAAAGGGTATAAAAAGCCTGAGGTTTTCATTTTTCTACCCCTCATTGAGGTTCATAGCATAACCAAAATAATTAACTGAGAAAAAACAGCATTGTCATTCGAGTCAGAGGGAGACCATCAACCAAATTAGGACATTGCGTTCCATCTAATGAACTGAGGAAACAATAGATGGTTTTGTCTCATTAGGTACAGTGGGCCTGGGTTGTGATTTGAGGGCTTGAAAGTCTGCTCACATCAATAGTGCAGTGCTACTCTGTGCTGCAGTGCATCGCCTAACTCAGAGGGCGGCAACCCAAATGTTAAGAAGAGCCAGTTTGTCCTTTCAATAAAAATGTAACCTCCTTGGGAGCCACAGCATTTTGTGTCCATTTTACCATCTTGGTTGTAAATATGTCTTAGTAAGTGCTGATTTACTAGTATAGGCTAAGAAACATAATATAAACGAAAACACGCTCACTTTGCTCTGCTTTAAGCTTTAGCTCAGCTATAGCCGCTTTTCTCGCATCCCCGGCAGGAAAACTTTTCCTCAAAAGTAGAACAGTTACTTGTAAAATTTCTCAACGTTCAGCTTTTTATGCGGCTGAAGTCAACTTCTCATTAACCACCTTCTTGTTAGAATTTCCCTGTTCCACCTTAAATGGTGCCTGAGGTGCCAGAATGTAACTGCTGCACCAGTTAAGGTGGAACGGACAAATTAGAACAAGCTGGTGAACGAGAAACTGACTGCAGCTTCTTAACTTTTTAGTGTTTGACAGTTTCTTGCTGCAGATTAGGAAACCAGCTGGAGTGATTATAAATGCAAATAAGTCAGTTCGCCTCCAAATGATCGTTGTTCGTCTTAAATCTTTCTCTTTGCCTTTTCGTTAGCTACTAGCTAGATGAGATTGTTGTCTGCATTGCTATGGTGACCAGCAGTCTGAGCACTATATTCAGGGTTAAAGGTTGCTGAATTAGCAGTTATACATACAACTGCAGAGTTTAAGATCATTTAGTGTTAAAACTGTTAGAATGATCAGCAGAGCTTTATTTTACTGCAAAGGAGGATTATTTTATATTATTTAAAGCCTAATTCTGCTGTGGAGATTCAGCAGGGCGGTAAAAAAGCGGCATGCGGCTCCAGAGCCACATGTTGCTAACCCCTGGCCTAACTTTTTTCTGTGACTTTTTTTAAAGGCTACCTAGGTGTGCAGGCATAATGTGTTTTAAAAAGCTTATATCAGTAATCACAAGATCTTATTAGGTGTTTATGAAGTAAATGACATTGTATTGACATAAGATGCCTTAAACTGAAGTGATTTCTGTGAAACTGAACTGGTTACAGGCCAACAAACAAGGAACTCAAACAAACTAGTCGAGGTAGTTGGATAGCACACCAATAAACAGAAAAAGCTACTGTGATGAACTCTTCATGGAGGAATGTGAACCACAATTTCTTAACATATTTAGCAGGCTGTTTAAATACAGATTAGTCCTCTCTAGTTCTCTGTCAGTTTCCAGACACGACAGTTATCACCTTTTAAGCGTTGTCATTGAGTCACTTGTCAATCGACTATATCTGACTACATAGCTCTATCGCCCAGACCTGTAATACAGTATTGGTCTTTTTTCCAACAGTTGTTTTTGTCATTACTTTCATTGTCCCAGCTGTACAATTCAGTGTTCTTAATAATGTGGAATTTTTTAGATGTTTTTGTGACTGGATGAAACAGCAAATAAGTAGTTCTGGTCAAAACAGTGATGAAATAATTGGTTGCAATCACAGTATGTAGTGCAACAATCACAATATGATATGATATGTTTTGCGGACCTGATACTTTCCCATCTGTTCTGCACATATTACCAGAGAACCTCTTTTTCTGCTGTGATTGCCTTACCACTGTTCTTCGACCATCTAAGATGCCATCATGCCAAATGACCGAGAAACATCAACATTTTAACAGCGGTGAAAGAAACTGACTAAAGGTCAGCACCTGCAATTTGTCATCAGAATTAGATGCAATTCCTTTACTGTCCTCTCAGTTCACCTAAGTGCTACCCATTCAGTTGGAATCAGCACTTAGAGAGGAGGTCTTGGATGGTTGAACCCAAGCTAACCCGTTCAGTTGCTGTTTTTCCCCTTCATACCCCTACCAACCCCCCAGCCCCACCCTCCAGGGGAGGTTCACTGACACGATGAAGGTAAAGGAGAAAGAGAGGAGCCACACTGCGAAATAAATTCAATTTTCTGCTTAAATAAGCCCAGCCCGCCATGTGAGCTGCAGCACCGGTGCTGAGGCAGAGGGAAGGGTACTGAGGTCAGTTCCCCGCAGTCCTGCGGAGGGCGGGTAGGCAGACAGGCGGCCGTTTCCGTCCAACTGGAGGTCAACTCAAGGTCCCTGGCCTGTGACGGAATGAGGGCTGCAGCTCGAAGCCCCTCAAGTGTAGATTCATTGTGAAATGCTATGAAGCAGTTCTCTGAAACTGCTCATGCCTGGAAATCCTGGTTAGTTTGTACTGCAGAATCTCTAGAGAGTTACTATAGAATGAAGGCAGGCTTAGTATGGAGGGCTTTATCTTAAATTGGAATCTGGGTGTGTTAAAAGTGCGCTTTTGTTAATGATAGGAAAGTGGTGAATCTCTGCCTATGCATTAGCATACGTGGGCATATTGTCTTCTCAGGAAGATAGTCATCTAAATGAGAGTGCAGTAAGTGCTTCATCCTAAGTATATTCTGTTTTAATTATATTCTGTGGAATACTTCTCTTTCTTTTCTCTTTTTTGAGTATGTGATACATTGCTCTCATTCTCTTTTCTACTGGATTGTCCATATTGTGCAGCCTGTTTCTTTGTCATTTTCTTCTACTCACTGGTGGAAAAGCGCTTCTTCTGAACCAAATAATACAAGTGCATTTAGTGTTTCATCGTACGTATATTCTGTGGTGCCTTGTTTATATTCTTGGGCAACATTTGCACCAGACATTAATATGGATCCTGGGGAATCTGATCATAAATGGACAGCGCTGAGTGAAGGTGTGAAATGGGTACAGTGCGTCTCGGAGGCGAATTGTGATCTATTCACTCAAACCACCTTTAAAGATGCTTAGGAATACGTATGACCAATGACATGTTAGTGCGAACGCTGAAGTGTCTTGATGTGTCCTTGACTGTGTTGCAGGACCGCATTAAATCAACTGCGTCATCATAGCCCTTTATTTGTCTATTTATTTTTTATTTTCTTTTCCCTTTTGTTTGCAGGTTGTGATCCGTGCAAACTAACATTTACACAAAGATTTTGTGTGACATTTTTATCTAATAACAAACAAAGCGAGAGGCTGATGTGGTGTTTTTTTTTTATCTGTTATTTGGTTGAAGCAAATTCATATAAATAAAAGAACTCAGAAAACACATTTACTGAAAGACGTATGAGTCTTATGAGAGCAACAAAAAAGTTCTAACATCTGATTAGTGCTACAACACTCAGACAGCAGCGGTGAGAAATGATTTGTTCATTTGAGCTCTATCTGGCATAGTTTGTAAGCCACTAAGTATGAGCAGCAAGGATAGCTAGTCAGCTATTTTTTTCCATTTTTGGCTTGTATTTTCATACAATTTCTAAAAAGGACGACTAAAATATTAATGGCAATTTTTTACGTGGCAGTTAATGGTCTGCCACAATATCATGATTGTGGTAAGTCTTGTTAATACAAAATGTGAACAGGGCCTTGGTGTCTCTGCAATCATTAAATACCAAAATCGTGCTGCCCGGCTTGGATGCAATGCAGACTTTAGGATGTAACTGGCAGACTACCGTTTGTTCCTAGTGTTCAGCTTGTTTTTTATATGTGCTCACATTTTGGTTAAAATAAAATTCTCAGTCTGTTTCCTTAATCTTTTTATGTAAAGAAGCAGTGAATTCACATCCAGTCCAGTGAGGATTTGATCACTGACTCAGCAGTGTGATATAGTGGCAGCACAGAGCAGCATCTAGCTCTAGTCTTCTTGCATCTGTCGCAGTAGGCTTTAATCAAAGAATTTCTGGGTCCAAACAGAGAAAACCTATTGACTTGTGCAGTCAGGCAGCTCAAGTCAGATTTTTCAGCATATCAGATTTTGAGCAAGATTTTCCACAGTCCGAAACATCCAAAAGCCCTATGAAATCTAGCTTTTTACACCCAGATTCCAGCCACCTTTTGAAGCTGGTTTCGAATCTGATTCACATCATATCTGGATGACTGCTCAGATCAGATTTCATGTGTTTCAAATCACTTCTAGCTCCCATAGCTTATTAGCAGTCTTTGAACAAGGCCAGCCTACACTCATGTCACATCTTTGTGCTGTAGTTAATAAGAAGTAAAACACTACTGTGAAATATAGCATGATTGCTCTATTGGCTAGTTATCATCTGCTAAGTCTTTCCTCTACCTAGTCAGTGTATGCATGCGTGCGTTGTTACTGCCGCATCGAATGTGGATATTCCAGCAAATGCGACTGCAGTCTGACCGTACGAATCAGATTTGGTCACTTCTCAGTCTAAAAAGTCAAATATATGGAACAAATTTAATTTGCCCTGCAGTTTTTCTCTTTGCTGAAATATTAGTTTGGAGTACTTTTATTGCAATATGGTGTTGTATCCCTAAATAGAGGCTTAAGCGTGCAGTTTTGTTTGTCATTTTATTACAAGAAAACCAGCAGGAGCTCCCCCTTCTGGATGGTTTCAGACATGAGCAAACTTAGCATACTTCACACTATAGTAATTGAAAGCAGATCTGTTTTGGCTTTCTTATGGACGTAACTGTCTAAACCATGTTTAGTGCTGGTTTTATTAACTATCAACACTGTTCTTAAACACTTCTTTAAAAATACATACACATTGTTCTTTAGCCCAGTATAAAATGTAAAGCTTTTAGTTGTGTGTGATTTTCTTATGTTATCATATCATATGTCTGTAAATGAACTCCTAGTCAGTCACAGTTGCACTTTTTGAATATACATGTATAGAGAAAGTATTGCTATGTGTTCACTGTATTGAGTGTATGCATTTCTCTTGTTCTCTTTTCAGTACAATAGCAACCATCGTGACCTCAATGTGAAGGAGGCCTGGAAGCAAGGTGTTACCGGACAGGGCGTGGTGGTGTCCATATTGGATGATGGAATTGAAAAGAACCATCCAGACCTGGAGCATAACTATGTGAGTTTGAAAGGAAAATCTACTTTTCCTCCATTTTAATTGAAGATCCAGAGTATGGGTGTAGTGTCATAAGATATTCTCACAATATCATGGTCACCATACATGATACATATTACATATGATATTTAGATTTTTATAAGTTGGAACAGATATAATGTACCAGTAAAACAGCAGTGCTGCATTAAAAAATGCTATCAAAACCTGAATATGGTGATTTATTTATTTTTTTTTCTTCTTCATTCAGTGTTTCACTGCTCATCACTTCATCTAGTTTAATTGCACCAGTTATGCTCTCTTGAATTCCTGGCTTTGTCAGGATTTGAGATTTAATCAGTATTTGATGATATATATATGAGTGCTTCCCTACTTAAGAAATGCTTCCCTACTTAAAGGGACATAATTTATTATGAGAACACAGTCAAATTACTCACCCTGAATCCAAAGGGACATGTTTTTTTCTGTTCTTATTTCCAGGATCCTGATGCCAGCTATGACGTGAATGATGGGGACCCAGACCCTCAGCCCCGATACACCCAGCTTAATGATAACAGGTAAGTTTGCAGATGATACTATAAGCTTGTTATTATTTCACATAGAATAGCTTCACCATATCAAGCAGGAGACACATTTTCTTTAGCCTGAAAAACATACTGTACATATTTTGATACTTGTTAACTTACTGTGCAAGTAATTTCTTGGTTCTTTATGCCTGACAGTGACTATTACACTTTTGATGGCTACCTGACCAGCAATAATTAGTTGTGCAGTATTTTGCAGTTTGTTACAGTGTGTTTTTCACTTAGAACAGCTTTTCTGTAGGTTTTAACCTGAAAACAATAAATATAGGACCACCATATCTCCAAACTGAGCACCAAAAATAACTCTTTTAAATATAATTTATTACAGAGGCCTACAGTAGGTATGAACTCACCACACTAAATTTATGCTTTGAATATGATTCAGTTTTAGCATTTAACCCAAATATAACCAAATTGTCCAGAATTAAGATGGTGTTCCCCAGTATGCACCCTCAAATGAACTTGTTTTGTATTCCGTGCTTGTTTTGTGGGTGAGAGGTTATTTTGTCTGGGCTTGATTGTTGTTAGTTTTGCTCCCTGAGCTGCATTAGCGACTGACATGATCCGCCCACACCCAAAAGCGGGTAAATCGACTGAGATTAAAGTAAATTTGTGAAGAAAGCAACTTTAGTGTTGGAGCAGATTGTATTAAAGAGCTGTTTACCAGCAAAGCTGTTCCACCCATCCGTCATCCCTCAGACCCAAGTGATTGAATTAAGTCTATCAGGAACAACGAGTTTTTATTAATTTATTTATTTATTTATTTATTTATTTTAAAAAGCTTATGGACAAACTGTTTGTTAATTCTGCTGCCAAACTCCATGTGCTTACATCGACTTGTTGGGATTTTTTCCTCAATCTGTCTGGTTTTTGGGATACTAGCCAAAGCGCTGTTTTTATCTTGAGGCGAACCATGATTAGTGATGACAGGCAGAAAAGCTTATAGTTACAAGCGGGTCGAAATCAAAGGTCCTGTGCTGAATGGCAGAGCTTTGTAGTTTGGAGCGGGACTATCTTTGAGCCAGTCCAGTGTACCCCACAGTGCAGGGATTCGGGCATGCCACAGTTAGTGTGGCATGCAAATTGGATGATTTTGATAAGTAGAAACATGAACTTTGTGTGCTTGAGAACTAGACTCTTAAAAGTATTTTAGCCCTCCCAGATCCCCCATGCTGTGTTCGCCATAACCCACTGCTCACATTTTTAATGTTAATCGTCTGTAGTTTGTTGAAATAAGCAAGGAAATTGTGGTGAACATGCAAACTTTCAGTTGATCCTACTTTTGTGTTTGTAAGTTTATTAATGTTTGAATGTGGGGGAAAAGATACTTGTTTAGCCTGTTTTGTCATTGTATTTTTGCTATATCTTTTGACAGAGATTAAGCTTGAACTTTCACTGTGTTCGCTTCAGAATTAGTAACTTAAAATTACCTTTTTGTTGTTATTGTTATTGTTGTTGTTATTATTATTATTATTATTATTATTATTATTATTATTAGTGGTAGTAGTATTATTTACTGGTCAGCAGATATTCTTACAAAGATAGTATTAATAATATTAATAGCGATCCTTTCTTCTGGTGAATTTGAGACAGTTCCTAACTATGAAGTGGATGTGGGAGCAAACAGTGATGGCATAAAAGTTAAAGCTTAGTCTTTGTCAATTAAAAGAACATCATTAGGAGGTCGCACGTTTGATCCCTGGTGATGCTACAGCCATCTGTGGCCGGGAGTCCAAGAGAGCACAGTTGGCCTCGCTCTCTTTGGGTGGGTAGGATGGCCCCCTTCTCCCCTTCACTCAATGCGATGCTAGCCAGTGCAGGTGAAAAAAAAAACAAAAAAAAACACAACAGCAGAGTTCAGTAAAATTTGTGCTTGTAGTAGAGCTTTAATCAGGCCTGAAATTTTGATGTAAACCCGATAGCAGCCTGAGGATAAAGAATAAAACCTTAAAGAATAGCACCGGTTACCATGTAGTGACAATAGTAGCCATTATTAGAGCGCAAATAAATAATAAATAATATCCTATAAAAAGTAAGGTTTCCTAAATTAAGTTTAAATTTGCTTTCATTTGTCAAATAATGCTTTTAAACAGTATCTCAAATGTCTTTAACCTGTGTACGCTTTTCATACTGCACCATTTGAATGCTGATCGGTGCTGATATAGCAAGATGTCACTATTCGCCTATTGAATTGTAAAACTCTATCTAAAGTTAAAGTCTGTAGCTGTCTTTGAGCTGTCTTGATTTCTTTGTAAAGCTGCTTTGTGACAACACCTGTTGTACAAAGCTCTATATAAATAAACTTTGCTTGCTTGCTTGCTGTCGTTATGTATAATGAATGTGGTATAAATGTAGCATATATCATCCAACATGTTTAAAAGTTCTCTTATGGTCTTGTATGGAACTACTAGTGTTTTCCTTCGGTTTGCATAAAATAATAAATGAACTTCTGAGTTATGAACTGAGTTATGGGGCTGTTATTGCAGCAACACCGTTAAATGTAACAGGGCATTACAGTAGATGACTTCTAAAAGTTAAACTTGTTCACAAGGCTCAAAGATACCCTGTGAGTATCACTGAGTGCTTCCACGCTTGCTAAAATAAAAAATAAATTGAAAATTCACATTACAGTTGATCATTTTAGCTTTGAATGTTAAGGCATGAATAATCAGGTTAGAGATTATTGGATCTTAAGCCTGCTGATCCTGTAGGCCGTCCTTAGCTAGCTGGCCCAGCTCCCTCTGGCCTCGGTGGTGAAGTGCCCCGTAGGCAGACTGTGCAGCATTTGAGCCTCTGCCTGCTCCCTATGAGAAAGCCCATCTCTGTTCACCTCCATAAAGCTCTCTTTCTTCATCTGCATCTCAGTCCATGCAGTTTAGAGCTGATCTAGGACCGTTTCCCCCTCCGCAAACCGTAAACTTTAAATTCTCTCTGTGAAACCACAAAACTGGCCCCAAATCAGCAGCCGAAGGGCAACTCCCACATACACCCCCATTTCACCTCGGCAGGGAGTTTGTCCAAGCCCGCATGTTTACTTAAGGTAATATCATATTTGCTTCCAAGCCTCTTCACTGCTCTCTCTGTCTCCAATCTGGAGTTTCGGAGAAATCCAGAGCATGGAATCTGTTTGTGTGTGCACAGGCTCCCTGTATTGTGTGCAGGAAAGAGTAAATAATGTATTAAACGCTTGAATTTTTCAGATAGTTTAAGATAGAAGTGGGCCAGTTACTCAGTGTGCTGCTTCTGAAGAAATACGGCTCAGATGAGGTTAGTGGAGCTAAGTGGAACAATAACAGCGTGATATCCATCTCCCTTGAGAGAATGCTGCTTTCATATAGTTACTTAATAATGTGCAAAAGTCTTTTTCCTGGGTGTGAAAAAAATAAACTGCCTTTTCTCCTCTCTGGAATGCTCTCCTCATTGTGGTAGGAAGACTATTTGGCACAGCTCTAACGTTCTGTGCTCTTGCTGCATATGGTTAAATATTTGTGATAAATCATCAGCCTACATGTCTCTTCCTAGGCAACATTATGGCAGCACAATCAAAAGAAAAGCCCTTTTGGCTGTCACTGGAGTTCCAGTATGAGTATAAATGTGTTTTGGTCCTTCTGGCAGATTTGAAATCACAGAACAGAACTTTGTTTGTCAGCTGAGAGGCTGCCTCTGCATTCATTTATGTAACTGTCTGCCATAGAAGCTATTGCTGCCAAATTGGGTTTTGATAGATGCTTTTACATTCAGATATTTGCCTGTAAGTGAAGGATTTAGAGAAGTGTGTTTTTGCTTAGCAGTATTTGCAGGTGAAATGTAGTGATTGACTTCTCAAAATGAAATTAGAGGTGGGAAATTTGTTTCTTTCCAGTCAGAGATTAGAGATGTGGAATCAGAATTGGCAATATGACAAAAATGTAACACCACGATATTTTAAGTCATTTTCACCTTACGCTGTATATATCACGATACTAATTTGTCTGAGCTTTGATAATCTGGAACAGCCCCAGTGGTGCCACATTTCATAAAACAAGATTGAAAACTAGTCTCAGGCAAAAGTTTGGCTGCCTCTGGGCAAATTACATATTTACTTGGTTTTTGCTGAATTAAAAATAAGTGCACATGCTCTACAGAGAACACACTTCTGCACATTTAATGCCCAATTAGTTTATTTGCTGAATTCAACAAAATAAAACCTAAAATGTGACCTGTGCAAATGTTATGAGACATTTTATATTTATTATTTTTTCCAATACGTAAAATACTAATTATGTTCTCTTTTTAGTGAAACATGCAGTTCAGTGTCTCTTTAAGTCGGTGGTGTCCAGTTTTATCAGCAAAGTGCAGGTTTTCGTTGCAAATAAGCAGGAACACACCTGATTCTGATTTTTCAAACAGCTGAACATGTGAGCTCCTGCTTTGTTGGGATCAAAACTTGCACCTACACTGGCCCTAAGATTGGACACCCCTGCTTCAAGCACTGACTATCCACAATATACACAGAAAAGTGAACAAGAAACCACATGAACAGCTCACTCGGAAAAAAGAACAGTGTATACAACAGTGAAGCAGGCCTCGTGTATACTTTACACAGTAATAGGAAACATGATAACAGAAAGCGCAGATTCTACATGCTGATACGTTTCACTCTGGCCAACATTAACGTGCATGCGCTGTAACTGTAATGCAGCAACTGTCTGAATAAATCGTCACCGATTCTCGTCTTGGAGGTCTACTTTCCTGTAGATTTCACAACCCAAATCTAATACACCCTTTGCAGCTAATGTAGAGTCTTTACTGGTCCAGATCCACTTACAGGGATACAGGGTTAGTGACCACTGATGAACTCAATAACTCTGATAAACTAGTGAAAAATTTGTAAGGGCAAAAGGTTCAGACCTCTGGACATACACCTCGATCCTTGTCCATCCTGGTCTGCTGACAGTGCTGAGGCTGCTGCATTGGATGAATTGCCTCCGGGA